CCCGAAACGCTTTCTGAACTGCAGCGGTGGTGGCTTTCCGGATTGGGACCAACTCTACCCATTTGGAGAACACGACGTGGAAAACAAGAGGCATAGAGTTTCCTTGTTTCGAACGGGGCAGTGGACCTACGAAGTCAGCACAAAGAATGTCAAAAGGTTCGCTCACGACGCGGGTTAGCATTTTTCCGGCTGCTTTTGTCTGAACGGTCTTAAATTTCTGGCACGACTTGCAGGGCCAAACGTAGTGTTTTGCGTCGCGGTACATGCCGGGCCAGAAATATCTTTGCCACAGGCGGGTAATCGTCTTTCGGACCCCCAAGTGTCCTGCGGTCGGGGAGTCATGACACTCGTATAAGACGCGGGCTCTATGGGGAGTGGGTACACAGAGTTTTAACGGGAAGTAGTCCTCGTCGTCAGCTCATGGGTTACCATGTTCCTGTATAGCTGGCCGTTCTCTAGCATATAGTCCGCGAACTTCTCAGGCTCGTCGTGTACCTTGTCTTTGATCTTACCGATCCATTCGCAGTGGTCCTCGAGCTCTACAGCGCTGTGAAGTACGACGTTCAGCTTTCCTCGTCGGTAGCGCACGTCGAATTGGAACTGTTGAAATTCTAAAGCCCAGCGCGCTATTCGGCCGGAAGGACTCTCAATAGAATTTAACCATTTAAGAGCCAAGTGGTCGGTAATGACTTCGAATCGGTAGCCCTCCATGTAACACCGCATCTTCCTGATGGCCCAGATGAGGAGTTAGTCGGCGGCAAAATAAACTTCTGGTCGACATCCGGACAACCCAACACGGGTGGTCAGGCATCTTCTAATCTCTTTCTCTTCCGACCTTTTTTCAGTAGCGCGGTTACTGTTTGTACGATGGTCGCGAAGCTAGGGACGAACCTCCGATACCATGATTCCATCCCGATCCATTGACGGAGTTCCTTCAGGTTGGTGGGGGTCTTCAACCCATTAATCGCGGACACCTTCTCGGGATCAGTCTGAATCCCTTCGCCGCTGATCACATGACCGAGACAAACCTGTTTTTGCTTGAAGAAAATACATTTCTTTGGATTTATCCTCAAATTTCCCACCCGCAATCTGCGGAACACTTCGGCGAGGTTAGCGAAGTGTTGTTCCTCCGTAGTGCTAATAACAATAATGTCATCTAAGTAAGCGAAGGCGACCGGCTCCATCTGTGATTGATCCTGGGGACCGGGTAGGCGTCGTGAGCACATGCGCCAATCGCCAGCCTTTTTCGTCCCCACCCCCATTGGTACACTGTGTGGGCTCCTGGAAGGCTCGATGGCTCCTGCGCGAAGCAGTTCGTCTACTTGGGTATCGATGACATGTTGCATCGCGGGGTTCCTGGGATAATACCTTTGCTTCAATGGCTTATCGTCGCGCATGACGATACGGTGTTCGGCGACTTGCGATAACCCCTGGAGACTCTCGAACAAAGCTCACTCTCGGTCGATGAAGCCTTGTTGCCCAAGGCTCAAAGAAACAATTTGTCGCTCTTTGTCGTGCTCTTCCGCTTCCATCCTTACGAGTATCCCAGCGTCGTCTGTCGTGGCCGTGGCCCGCGTAGGCGTTGGGCTGAGAACCTCTGCTCCTCATTGGCCGACAGTCCCCAATTGGACCTTAAACTCGACGGGGTGTACCGGTTTTCCTCGATCGTCCTTCGGTGGTATGAGTACTGGCAGTAACAAAGGATCTCCTACTGCTTGGGGCTCAGACTGCAAGTCAAGGGTATCCGGAGTTCGCCACAATTTCGTCACGTCCAGACATGACCGATCGGCCAACGCTATTCTAGTGACCACATCCCGAACCTCGCCTGCGCGGGCGAATAGGTTTGTGAAACTTTCACTGGCGAAACACATCTCCCTCCGACTTCTATCGCTGCCGTGATGAGCCCACCGTGTAGCCTACGGGCGAGGCCAAGCCGGGAGGATACTTTGCGGGCGTCCGGTAGTATGAGGGCAGTTAAGTCTGACTCGATCGACCGGTCGGGAAGGGTGTTCACGCGCAAATCTTAAAGCTACGGAAGAGGCAGGAAAACTACTGGACCGAACGGGAAGGGGGTCCACATTCAGGTCCGGTAGTGCTACGGTAATATCTTACAAGGAGCGGGAATACGACCATTGTGTCGAACGGGAAGGGTGTCCGCGTTCAGACCCAAAGCAGTTGTGTGAATGAGATTAGGTTGGACTTAGAACATGACTACGAAAAGAAAACACACGGTCGAGCGGTGCGATTATATATTCTTTACTATTTATTCAATTCATCCTCACTCGGGTCCGATACACCGTTTTGAGCACATGAGAACATGTAGAACTTGTGTACCTTAAACTGTCGGAACACGCGCGAACATAAGGCCGAGAGCGGTCACGTCAGGCGTCAAGGCTGGCCTGTCCTGTGATTCTCCACCGCCGTAAAAACTCGATTAGCACACGTGGTTTTCGAAGCCTCGCTAAGCCGTGTCCAAATCTCACGTCTTACCCGTTCCACGGTCCCGAGAGAAGAGAGCACGCCACGCCTGCATTCGGGATTTCTAGTATTTCTAGTATCCTTTGCTTTTCTAGTATTCAACATGTCTTGGCTAACTATCGGTTAGCGTTGCCACCCTTTTTATTCTTATTGTGACTTAATATTTATTGTACCTCACGGTATTTCTCTTAAAGCTATTATAATGGTTGCTTCATTTTAATTATATTGTGTTATTTGGGTTTTCTGTTGAAGGACAATTATTGTTAGTAAGCCTAGTTTTATGCTTCGTTTACTTGTTCTTAGCATTGGTCATCGCCTTTTTTAAACATTTGTCCGGGTCCTCCGAATCCTTGGCCAACGCTCCTAAAAAAAGTATAGGCATAGGATTAAAAAATGCGTCTTACTTGTTTATTTGTATATTTACCTTTTAGAGCTGTGCATAAGCCTTTGCGGAATTTTTATTGGCACAAAACATTTGATCATCCACTTTCGGCTAACGAAACCCATAAAACACCTTCGAATGTACTAACTAAGATCAATGCACAACATCTTCTACATAATGTAACACTTACCTGACTTTATTGTTTTACAAAAATTATCACTTTTAATAAAAAAGCAAGGAAGAACGCTATAGTGGAGTACCTTGACTATCAGATACCCGTTACCCAAATAACAAACTTTAAAAGAAATATGCCTTCATGTATGTTTTTTGCCGCTCGAATCAGCTCCCGATTGTTATGTTAAAATCACCACGAGAAGGCCGTTGCTTTGCAACAGGGTCTTTCAAACCAAAATTCAGACCTTCGAGTCGACTTGAGTTGTCTAACTTTGTACAACTTTGAAAACTCCATGTTCCCCAACAATTTTGTTTATCCGTACCATACGGAAGGCATAATTATAAACAGTACAAAATAAATTTAAATATATAATACTTATTTTACGTTACTTCAACCTACTTTTACTTTTTTTGTTTTTGATTTTTTCAATAATTTGCTACATTACAACCTAATTAGTTTTTATAAAATTAAGTTAGTTAAAGTTCATAAAGTTTTTTTTATTAAAAGAAAAGAAAAAAACACAAGCAATTGGCCTGGGCACCTGAGCGACTTAAATTCGCTGAGTCGTCAGCGAACGTAGATGTTGTTAGCTGCTCGTTCGTGGGAATATCGGCTGTGTATAGAAGGAAAAGAGTAGGCCCTAGCGCGCTTCCTTGCGGGACTCCAGCTTTGATAATGTAGTCGTCGGATGTTGTTGTGTTGCACTTTACTGCGAAGTTTCTGTTGTATAGATACGACTCAAGCAGCTTGTGAGTGTAATCAGGCAAGTGTGTTTTGATTTTGTGCATGAGGCCATCTAGCCATACCCGATCGAAGACTTGAGATACATCGAGGAATATTGCGCTGCAGTATTCCCGATGCTCAAATGCTGTGCGTATTTCTGATGGTATTCTGTTTACTTGTTTGATTGTTCCATGGTTTTGACGAAAGCCAAATTGATGAGCAGGAATAACACTGTGTGCTCCTAGATATGGAATTATGCGAGTTAATAGGCATTTTTCAAAAAACTTAGACAGACACGATAATAAACTAATTGGTCTATAGGATGACGAATTGTGTGGTCTTTTCCGGGCTTCGGTATCATAATGATAATAGATTTTTTCCATTTTTTCGGATATTAGCCGAGAGTTATGATCCCATTGAAGAGCTTACAAATAACCTCAATGGGAGAGTTTGGAAGTTCAATTATCATATTTGGGGTTATTTGGTCATTGCCAGGGGCCTTTTTCGGTTTCAGTTCCCCAATGACTTTCGCTATCTCCTTTGGCTGAAACAATGGTGGTAGGGAAATAAATTCTGATCCGATTTGTGGTGGGACAAATGAACCAGTGGCAGGGTTCGGCTGGAAGACGTTTCTGAGATGTAAAGCAAAAGTTTCGGCTCTATCTTTGTCGCTGTGGACCCAGCTGCCAGATGAATTTCTTATCAGAGTGACTGTTTCGATTGGTGAGCTCAGATTTGGGTGAGCCCTCCACAGAGGATGTTTTGTACTGGTTGCAGGAAGTTTTTTAATGTACCGCAGCTGTGCATTTTCTGTTTCTTGCTTAAGAGCTCGATTTAGTGTGCGAGTGGCTTCTTTAAGACGTTGTTTTGATGACGGCGATCTGTTGGTTTGCCAGGCACGTCGCAGGCGCCTCTTTTCTAGGACTGTTGCAATTGGAGTCGAGTGGGAGCGACGTTATCGATAGTTTAGGTCGATAGGGCGATAGCTGCAGCAGCGGGATGAGTCTGGCGGGCGATCTGGCCATTTGAAGATTAATCCCGGTTCGCTCAGGGATTACTTCAAATGGCCCATGTATCCAATGACCCAATGTCGAGAGAGGCCATGTAATATGGCGGGGGGCGATGATCAGCAGATATCGTGATAGTCGCGGCCATACTGTCCAGCAATCAAGGCAGATGCAGCTAGGAGTTCTAGTATAAATTTTCTTTGTGTCTTAAATTAAATAGTGAGTTATGTGAAAGTTCTATAGTAGTTCGATATTTAATATTTATCATTTATAAAGGCAGCCGGGGTCCCAATACAAAGGGCCCCGGAAGAATTTATTTGGACTCTACTGACATCGCCATACTTCGACATACCTACCAGCCCGACAGTGGCTGAAAATTAAGAGAAATTAAATACACGTGTACCTCGATTATATATAGTGATATCTACTTACCTGTTTGTGAGTTTATCCGGAGTTAGACCCGAGAGCCTTATTTGTCCTCGTTGTTTGCCTAAAATTAAAAAGGTCGCGAGCGTTAGTTAAATGGTATAGTTTACAGTGCAGTTACGTACCTTTTTGGCCTGTCCCTTCTTTTCTTTTGGAGCTCCTCAGGATTAGGTGACCATACACACGCGCATCGCGCATGTTCCCTTGAGGCCCGCGTTTCCATGCGAGCTCTACCAATACATGGCTGGTAGAGCATAATTCCCGCGGCGCCTGTACCCTTTCCCAGCAAAACAAATACTCTGCTTTGACCGCGTAAATATCCGAGACGGCGGCCAGGTTTCGGTCTTAGAGGCTGAGGAAGGATAAATCTATTAAGAGGAGAATGTATATGAACGATTGTACTTACCATATTTATTAAGCCTTTGTAATACCCACTATGTGTGAATAAGCTTTCCCAGTGGGGGAGATGGAACCGTAGCCGCAGTCGCGAGGAGGGGGCTCCTGCCGACTGCGAATGGGTGGTGCCCTGCAGCCCCTTGAGGGCATCCATGGATGGGCGGGAGCGCTTGGCTAGGACATCGATAGCCACCAAATGTAATCCGTTTTCCCGACAATAATTGTAATTTTTGCTTTGTTTACGTTTTTGCCCTTAGTGATGGCCGATAGATTAGTAAGGTGAGACCGCGAAGTTATCGATACTTATGTTGCGAGCTGTGGCATTAGGGGTACTCTGCCCTGAAGACGACTGAGCTAGCGGCACTGCCACCGAAAAAAGCAGTTCGTAACATATTGGCGCCCAATTTAAACAAAATAAATCGTCGAGGCGACGACGTCTCGCCCATTTATGACCCTGACGCCCCCGCCATCACGACATATGGCTTGTGACATGGATTGCAATTGCTAGGGAGTGGTGACGGGGAAGTCAGCTGAGTAGGGAAGTTGGAATGAAAACGGGAGGCACGTCGACATTGCCGACGATTCGCTCCTGGTCACAGGCTTACCAGTGAACCGGTGATGGCATCTTGGGGCAAACCAAGATTTGCATCACGGGATGCACTGACGAGAATCTGTGATAATTTCTGTGATAGAGTAGTTTTAAGGCTTGTATTTTGTTATTTATTTATTTGAAATGTTTTTTTGTTAGGATGTGGTGTTCCTGGGTTTTTCTCCCCGTCCTGGACTTCTAATTTTATGTCGGTTGTGAACTTAATTGCGTAATCGTGACCCGTAGCAACCCTACGCGCTGCACGGTTGCCTCGATTTAAAATAGAAAAAGAGGGCGGGAAAGAAAAGCCAACAGGAGCCAAACCAGCCGATGTCCTTAACTGGCGGCTATCACCACGGGTGATAGCTAGTCCAGTTGACGAACGGCTAGGCGGAGACGGGAAAATCGGATTTTTGGAAAAAGCGCAAGACAGTTAGGTCGGAAGCCCACCGGCGAGGGTCAGTTCCATCTCCCCAAATCAAGAGTAGAGGAAGAAAAATATAATAAAAAAATTTAGGAGATTTTGAAAGGTGTTAGAAAGTGAGGAATAGTTGGTTATTGTTATTTATTTTTGCTGTTAGTTATTTTCGTATTTATTTTGATATTTATTATTTATTATTGTATTTATTTGTTGTCTTATTTATTTATTTATTTATCACATTTATTAGCGTATTAGTAGTTATTAAGTATTTATTTAAAATTTCTTGGGAGGTATGTCCGAGGGTAAGGACGTCAGGGATAAGCACGGTCACCAGCTCAGGTCGATGGGTCCTACTGGCGACGACAAGGACGATGTCTGGTCCACGGACGTAGAGGGTGCTGCTGGGATGCCGCGGATATCGCTGGCTGGGGGTTTGCCCAGAACGCCGGTAGGCGGTAGTGCGGTGGATCGGATTCGGGATCAACCGGCGGATCTGGAGCACCATCGGTCGCCCAGGGTCCTGAACTTCAAGGCAATCGTCGAGGCGCAGGATCGACTTCTGGTTCCGGAGCAGACGGCACCACAAAAGCTGAACACGGAACGGGATACAGCGGCGGAGTCGGCGCTGAACGCAGCTCTGGCACAGGCTGCCCAAACCTATCGCGCGTCACAAGAGGTAGAAGTGAGCCAGGCGTTGCGGGAGGAAATCAGGAACGGATTCATCGACATGATGAAGTTGTTGAACGACGTCCTGAGGCCAGCCGAGAGCAAACCGCAGCCGCTTCAGGAGGGCGCGAGTCGCCAAGTGTCGATGGTGCCCACACCGTCGTGTCCAGAAGGCGGCGCAAATGGCCCAGCGGGATTTTCGCAGCGGCAGGATACAGGAGGATGCGACCGAAGGCCGCCGGAATTGCCGCCAAGGCAGCGACCTCGACTGCCGGTAGATGACTCTCCAGGGATCGACAGCAGCCTGAGCCAGGAACCCGAGTATCATCGGACAGGCAGGAGCGATCGCCACGCACGGCCATGGCGCATCGAGGACCGAAGGACGGCGGATTTTCGGGACGAGCCGCGGTTATACGCCAACGCGGGAGCCGGCAACGGAAACCGCTACATCCGAGTGGACCGATGGAACCTCTCATTCGGCGGCGAAGACGATGGCCATTCCGTGGACGACTTCGTGTTCCGTCTGGAGTTCCTGCAGCGGCAGCATCAATGTCCGTGGAGTGAAGTTCTGCGCAACTTCCACGTTCTCTTATCGGGCAGAGCGAAGGAGTGGTACTGGGTGCATGTACGCCAGTCCAGAGTGGACACTTGGGCCCAGCTGCGCAGGGCTCTGATGGATCGGTTCCGTGGTCACCAGACGGAACACGAAAGGATGCACGAGCTTCTTCAACGTGAGCAACAGCCGGGAGAGAGCGGGGATGACTACATCCATTCCATGCAGCAACTCGCCTCACGCCTGAAAAAACCAATGCTAGAGCGGCAGTTGGTTAAGGTGGTGAAAAAGGGCTTGAGGGATGGCATCGCTAGATATGTTTACGCGATGGACGTACTCACGGTGGACGAACTTCGGGAAGAGTGCGTCGAAGTGGAAAGGAGCTTCGGTCGTCGAGGGCGTGCTGCTTACCTGCAGCAGAACAAAGTACGGGTCAGCGAGGCGCGCGTACAGGACGAAGTCGACGAGCAGCGACACCTGGAGGTGGACGAGCTACGTGGGGGAGTCCGAAATCCATTTAGGCCAGGTTGCTGGAATTGCGGGGCTGCGGAGCACGGATTCCAAGGTTGCGAGGCCACGGAGTGGAGGAGATTTTGTTTCCGGTGCGGCAAGCCGGGCGTTATTTCTCCGAAATGTCCCGATTGCGCGGAAAACGGTCGGCTGGGCAGTCCGAAAGCGGGAGGGACTCGCCCAGGTTGGAATCCCGCGAAGTAGTTCCGAAGAAAGAAGAAGAAGAAAAGAAAGTACATAGTCCATTTAATAGTAATAAGTATTTATTAAGATACCTACCGGAGGATGAGAGGCTTCGCCGTTATATGGAGGCACGGAACCGGATCTTTGCCGAGCATCAGCTGAGCGGCATGCGCCTGGTCTCACGGAGAGTCCAGAAGGCAAGGGAGCGCTTCAGGATGAGGAGATCCAGACGACGAGAGGTGGTGGCGGCCGTTAAGCGCATTGATTCCGCTGATCCTCGACCCTTCGCTGACGTGGAGACCTTGGGCAAGCAGCTCACCGGCTTGTTGGATACAGGCGCCAGCGTAAGTGTGCTGGGCAAAGGCTGTCGAGAGCTCGTGGAAGCGCTGGGAGTTACCGTCCAACCGTATTTTTCGGTAGTCCGTACTGCTTTTGGCGAAGATCGATCCATCATCGGGCGCTTGGAGCTGCCTGTGAGGTACAAAGGCGTAAGTAAGCCGGTCACGTTCTACCTGTGCCCATACCTGGAACAAACGGCGTACTTCGGAGTCGACTTCTGGCGAGCCTTCGGACTAGCTCCAGCCGTCGTGGGGAAGCCGGCGACGAGAGGCGTCAAGGCAGCGGAGGAAATCCATGCCAGCCAGATGGAGCACTATGCCGACCAGGAAGATGAGGACGAGGTAAGGGAGGAACCCGAATCCTGGAGCCTTTCTGCGGAGGAAAAGCTGGCGTTAGGCAAAGTCAAGGAGGAGTTCCTTACCTTTGAGAGGGTTGGCCTCGGAGTTACCAGCATGGAGAGGCATTCCATCGAGCTGATGGAAGGAGCTCGGGTCTTTAAGGATCGTCCGTATCCGATGTCTCCGGCGAAGCAGAAGGTGGTCGAAGACGAAATCGACAAGATGTTGGAGCTGGGTGTCATCGAGGAGAGCAAAAGCCCGTGGAGCAATCGCACAACAGTGGTGTCGAAGCCAGGGAAAGACCGGTTCTGCCTGGATGCCCGGAAGTTGAACGCCTTGACTATCAAAGACGCATACCCTCTGCCCAGTATAGAAGGAATCCTCTCCAGAATAGATCAGACGCATTACATCTCCAGCGTGGACCTGAAGTTTGCATTTTGGCAGATCGAACTGGATGAGAAGAGCAAGGAGTACACTGCGTTCACGGTTCCAGGCAGGCCGTTGTACCGATTCCGAATGATGCCGTTCGGACTGTGCAACGCGGCACAACGCTTGGTGCGACTCATGGATCGGGTGATACCAGCGGAGCTCAGATCCAACGTCTTCGTCTACTTGGACGACCTGCTAATCCTGGCTCCAGACTTTCAGACGCACCTGAAATACTTGCGTCGGGTAGCCCACAGTCTCAAATCAGCCGGATTGACCATAGGGCTAAAGAAGTCGAAGTTTTGCTTCAAATCTTTGACTTACCTAGGGTTTATAGTCGGAGGTGGACTGCTGCGGATGGATCCTGGACGTGTTACGGCAATCCAGAAGATGCCTTACCCGAAATCCATGAAGGAAGTACGTGCCTTCCTCGGCACAGCGGGATGGTATCGACGGTTCGTCAAGAACTTCGCTACGCTAGCCGCACCACTCTCCGAGTCCTTGAAGAAGGCTGGAAACACAAAGTTTTCCCTAAGTCTCAGCGCCACCCAGGCAGTGGATGACCTGAAGTTGGCCTTGACGAGTGCGCCGGTCCTGGTTCATGCGGATTTCAAGAAGCATTTCTTCATCCAGTGCGACGCATCCCACGTTGGCGTCGGCGCGGTATTGTTTCAGCGGAACCAGGACGGAGACGAGCAGCCCATCGCGTTCTTCTCGGCCAAGATGAACAAACACCAGGTTAACTACTCGGTCACGGAAAAGGAATGCCTGGCGGCCATCCTAGCTATTCGGAAGTTCAGACCGTATGTGGAAGGGATGCCCTTCACATGCATTACCGATCACGCCAGCCTTAAGTGGTTGATGACAATGAAGGATCTTTCCGGACGACTCGCAAGGTGGTCTCTCCAGCTGCAGGGCTACGATTTCAGCATCGAACATCGCAAAGGCAGCGAGAACGTAGTCGCCCGCATCATCGAGGAAGTCCGGATAGATCCAACGGAGTTACTGGGATTCGAGACGACCGAATTTGCTGCGGAGGACTATAAGGAATTAGTGCAAGACGTGGAGTCCAACAGGGAACACTTACCGGACCTCAAGGTGGATGGCGGACTCATCTTTAAGCGCATGAGTAACCCCAAAATGGACGAGGAATTGGAAGGATCCGAATGGAAGCTGTGGATCCCGCAAAGCCTGACGCACAGCTTGGTAGAGCGTGCTCATTCGGACCCCAAGGCTGGCCATGGTGGGATGACGAAGACCTTGGAGATCCTGCGACGCCAGTTCTATTGGCCAGGGATGACCATCCAGGTACGGGAATACGTCCGGAGTTGCGATGTGTGCAAGGAATCCAAAGCGCCAAACT